CTGACCAGGGCCACCGAAAAAGTCAGTGGGCTGTCGGCAGTGTCGATGTCAGGAGCACTAGGAGATTTGCACATGACGACGATCAAGATCATTGACAAAGATATGTATCTTGTCATGGGATGTTGGGCTTTTCCTAAATCGGTAGTCATCTTGGTAGAGAGGTCCTCCATATCCTCCATGGATTATGAAATTATGTATCAATATTAGCCCAACAAAATCACCCACATGTATATAGGTAAATATACCAGCACCATGGAGCATCTAGGATCTTTCCAGACAAAAATCGATAGCTTCCGTTTATCATGGTTTCGCAGGAGAAAATCCCCTATCATGCAGGTTTCAAATGGAGGTTTTCATGGGCATATCATCTATGAATGTAGAAAAAACCCTTTGGAAACGATGGCCAATCAGGTGACACATCCGACACTTTTTTGTTGGCGCATCACGAAAAAAACCGTAGTAGCATTTTTTGTCTATCCACGGTGATTCCCAGACCATCTTTGGATGGTTTTAATTCAACATGTCACTATATATACCATCTGGTTATTTAACATAGCCATGGAAAATCACCATTTCTAATAGGTAAACCATCTATAAATGGGCCATTTTCCATGGCTATGTTAAATAACCAGAGGGTATAGTGAAATATTGGACTCATACAGGGAACTGCTAAAGTCGTCTCTTTTTGTGTTGTTGTCAAGAAATCAGCTGCGGGTTTTAGTGTCTTGCAGAAGTCGTCTCTTTTTGGCTTCCCGCAAGCTGAATGCAGGATTTGTGATGATGTTTTGTTTTTGACCCATGATTTCGCGAATGTGGCGTTTAGGTTGGTGTTTAGGATGACTTAGGGGTGACTTCTTGGAAACAGCGTTGACAATGGGGAAAACCCATTTGAGGATAAATGGACAGTGAGGGATGACTTTCACTTCTAGCTGTATATAGTGGGACTGGGTCCCTTATAATATATTATTCCCAGCCCATCAAATATCCTGAAATATTGGACTCATAGTGGGACTGGGTCCCTTATAATATATGAGACTCATATTAAGATATTGTTATATCATATAGACTGGGTCCCTTATAATAACATATGATACTATATTAGCTATATATTAGGTCTATATTTGACTCCTGTGGGACCCAACCCCATAAGTTATCGGAGCCCTCGGAGCTCGATCAACCCACCGAGTCCTGGAATTCTTTGCTTCGATCACGAGAACGATCAAATCGAAGTGCAAGGCAAGACCGACAGCGACGTGAAGGCGCCGCGATGCCGATGGCGATGTTGCGATGTTCTTGGGGGATGAGTGGCGATGGCCAAGATATCCAAGATATCCAAGATGCCATCGCCACGAAAAGGTAAGTTCGTTTACAAAACACGAACTGGAAAGTTCCACCATGCTATGTAGCTGGGTAAATCCACTATTTCGACGCCATGGCTTCAGGTATTTGGGTAGATTCTTGAGATGGGTTTGTCTGAAAATAGGGTATATTCCCAATTATAGCACTTTAATAGGGATAATGATCATTAACCATCATTAACCATTGGGTTTAGGGGTATACTATTTTCAGACAAACCCAGATGTTGGTATGTCAGTCATTACCAGAGGGTATATCCATGTATATCCCATTAATATCCCATTGAATCACTATAAAATCCCATTAAATCACTATTGGTGTTCATTCTAAGCATCGAAAAATCATGCGACGCACCGCAAAAAACTTCCGCAGTTTGACGTGCTGGTGAAGCGAGTGGACGGGGCAAGCGGACAGGCCGGGGCATGTTCTGAAAATTGGGGATATTTTGGTAGTGGTAGGTCTATCTATATATATATATATATCATGTGTATATATATATATCATATATATCATATGTATATATATATACACCATGTATATCATATATGCATATATATATATGTAGGTTTATAGATGTCTATAGCAAGCCATGTCAACCATTTTAAACCTACCATGAATACTTTTTTTTTCTCCGAAATCATCCCAAATGGTGGCATTGGGTTTACCAGGTAAAAACCAATCCCGCTGTATTCCACAATCATTCCACAAAACAGTCCCAAATTCTTGCTGGATATTGCTGGTTAAATCCTCATTATCCCAGCATCATCCTGTTATCCCAAAATCATCCCATAATTATCCCACTAAATCCGGTTAAATCCTGGTTAAATCATCATTTCATTCGAGGTTTCATTCGGAGCTTTCAAGGAGCTGTCAGTCTGTCGAGACGGCTGGGACTCCACTGTTCCGCGGGAATCGGAATCTGTGAGCTCGGCGGACCAGGTCTCCTGCAAGTATAGATGTGAAGGTGACTCTGCTCAGGCGTGGTGACCGGCGCGGTGACCTCGAATGGCCATGCGCATTTCGCATTCTGCTTTTGATAGTGCTTGGTCTGCTTGGTTTCCGAAACACGTCATGGAAAAAACCCGAATGAAATCATCCATTTGAGTATTTGGAATTTTCCATGAAACAGCCAAAGTTTATCCAGCGGAGATCATGACGACTTGGACCACCCCAAATCCAACGCTTAAGTGGTTTATAATCTGTATATATATATAAGCCATATATTTCATCCCATCTGGGGATATAACCTGTGAATCTAACTGGGGGTAATCCATCCATTTACCGGTAAAAAATGGATGTCCGTTTAATGAAAAACACCAGGTCAATGAGGATTTCCTGGCGGAGGAGGGAACCTTGGTGTCACACCGGCCAGCTTAGCGTTTGGGCCGAAACGGGTGACATGACCTGGCCTGGTGGTAGAGGCACTCACTGCAGTAATATATGGCGAAGATTGGTAGATAAATTACGTGTATATATATATATATATAATACTGTAACCATCCTGAAGGATTCGATAGAACATACGGTAATTTTTTCAAGAATTTCGATAGAACTTTTTTTTGAAGATCTTTGAAGTTTGCACATTCTATAGATACTATCTGTTACTATCTACTCCAGGATGACCAGCTTTTTCCCCAGCGAAGTCCACTTGGCAGGTTCACTCCCGGAGAGTCCGACTCTCAATTTTTCGGGGATCGGGATCATCCCCTGACGACCTGCAGATTTTTTGGCATATTTTTGCTATAAAAAGGGGGCAATTTTTTGAGAGTTTTCCGCCGTTTCTGACAGAAATCCCGGCAACAAGAGTGAGGATTTTCTTTGTCAATCCTGGCTCTGGGAGCAGCAGAGGTGTGAGAAAAAGATCGAAATGACCGTAAGAGGCAGAAAAAGGCTGGGGACACGACGCGGGACGCGGGACGCGGGACGCACTTGGTCCATGTCAGACCCGAACCCAACTGCGATCCTTCATGGGGTCATGTTTTTTTTTTTTCTCAGGTTCATCAATAGAGTTCTGTTGTTCAATGCAACAGGCATTCTGAATTTCCTCCCCACCACAATGGAATTTGAGGGGATATAATGTCAACCTCGGATACATAAACCATGGTTTATTAATTGGGGGGTACTCCTCCAATACTCATTATCTGATACTTAAATGGTACCCTCCCAATTAAACAGCCTAGGGGTTTATTAATCCAGGGTTGACATTAGGTGATTGATATTGATTTGGCTACGGCCATTCTTGGAACGCAACTTGCGCCGACCATTGGGTGAACTCATTTGAGGTATGAGCAAACTCAGATGCCACGACCTCAGAATTTCCTGCCATGGTCCCTGTTTGACCTTCATTCGTTCCTCTGTTCAGTCCTTAAATACTTCCCAATCGAAACCATGGTGAACGTAGGTGATTTACATGTACAATCATGTACATATTTGGGACCATCTACTGGATGTGTTTGATGTTTTCACAGCTTCTGTGGCCAAAACACCCCAAAAACCTGGATCTTTACAGGCAGAAAAACAGAGACTTTGCCACGATCCTGGCTTTGGGACGAAATGAAGATGTTGGGTGTGTCTGAAAATAGTGTACCCCTAAACCCAATGGTTAATGATCATTATCCCTATTAAATGGCTATAATTGGGAATATACCCTATTTTCAGACAAACCCATGTTGGGAACATGGATCCCAGTCCTGTCATGAACAGCTTGTGATTCCGCGCCCGCACCTTGGATCAGAAGTGGAAGCAGAGAGTTGTGACTTTCCGGACTTGGTCAAGATCCAACAGATGAGTGGATTTGGAATCAGCAAAACATGGTTTTCATGATCATTAATTATCCTTTCTAAACATCAGGCATGATCTGAGGTCCCCATTTTCTTCACCGTTCACGACAAAAACATTTGTTAAATTGCTGGACTTTTTCTTTGGTTTTGTGAGGGCATCATCAAAATATGGGTCACAAAAAAACAGGCTCTGTTTATTCAGCACTTAAGTACCCCTATAATCATTATAATCCACGAACGTTCATAATCATTTCCCCATTAAACATTCTTTATGAATTGGAGGTTTTTGTTCCATTTTCAGATGCACTTATATAAATAAGTCCATTCAGAAACAACACGTCATTTGAGCAGGGTCCGCGACTGCGGTGAAAATGATGCCAGCGTCGTATCTGCCATGGTGCTTGACGTGGCGTTTGTTAGGGACAGCTGTTGGCAGGTCTCAACGGGGCTTGGCCTGGAAGTGGGAGGAAACATGGGCATTTTTTATGGGGTACGTGCAGGTCATTGCCATTGGGAAATGGTGAACTGAACTGGATTCTGATGGAGTAAACTATGCGAAAACACAGTTGGGATTTTGGCAGTGTTGCCATTTTTCACGAGTGTCAGCGACTGCCTTTCTTCAGGTGTAGCCATGGGAGCCGCTCAAGTGGGTGCGCTTTGCGAATGTAAGTGCCGTTCTCGGCGACAGATTTGGGTTCATTTGGGGGTTTCTTCAAATCGGGGGGGTCACCCAAATCATTGGAATTTTTGAGTATTTTAGCCTCAGGTTTTTTGGGCCCCACATTTTGAGTTAAACATCCAAGCAACTTTTAGCCTCAAGGTCCTTTTTGCCATCCTGTTGAGACGATGTAGCAATGGCATCCAATGGCCACGGCTCCGAGGGACGTGCTGACGAAGATCGTTCACGCCACTGTCTCAGTTGGGGTGCTGTGGGTAGCCGGGCAGTTTTGAGTCATGGAATCACTGGGATCACAGGCCGATGCCGTGGATGAACACATGCACATGGTCAGTGGCGCCGACGAAATGGAGGTAGCAGCGGTCCTGTTGATTTTTTTTTCGGATTTTGCCTGGACCATGATGTCTCCGGGTGTCATGGGAGACTGATTTTTCTAGTCTTTCTAGTGGAAGTCGCTTGACTAAGGAGCACGTAGATACATTGGTAAAGTGCAGTAGACTGCCCAGACTTTCAACACCTGATGTTTTTGAGACATCTGGTGAGTCAGCTTGCCAGGCAAAGCCCGACTCCTTGGAGGTTTGCAAGGCACAGATTTGGTAAAGAGAGGAGTGGCACATGGAGGTTTCCTAAGTCATGGGGGTACCCCCAGTTCTATGGATTTTCCGTTATAAACCATCCAGCTATTGGGGGTACCCCGATTGATGCAAACCTCCATTGGACTACCCCCAGTTCATGTCGCTTTCCTTCCAGGCAGTGAAAATCTCCAGCCCGAATCTTGGGCAGAAACCGCAGAGGGTCCAGGTGCGGACGTGCTTCATCGCACGAATCGCCTGGGTTATCTCAGTGATATGCCTGGATTTCTTGGTGGGATAAGTAGGGTTATAACTGATATATCTGATTAGTGTCATTACCCTAATGTTACAACTGATATCACCGACATGAGGCGAAATCTAACTTGTAGCTTATACAGTATCCATTACAAGTGGTGAAAAAACCCAGGGGCCGGGGCCAGGCTCGCCCCAAAGTTGATGATAAAGACGGCGGCAGCTACCAGGGAGAGTGGCTGGGATGCTTCCGCCACGGCAAGGGGACGCAGGCACCACCACTGGGGCAGACCGTGACTTTGGATTGGTTGAAGGGAACATCTTAACCGGAAACCATGGGGTTTTCCATGAGATATAGGCTCATCCTGTAATTTGTTCCTCACACCCATCCGTTGAGATATTTAGTTTTGGGTTCTGTATTAGTTTACAGTATATATGTCTAATCTATTTTGGATAATTACCACATATTACCACGACATTCTCCAAGACCTGCCCCTGCCAAAAATGCGAGTCTTCGAGTCCTTCAATGTGACACCCGGTACTACCCCTAAATCCACTAGTTGCCTAAAACAAAGACGGGCATGCCACAGTTTCACAGACCCAAACATCGTATTGTTGGTTAAAGGCCCCAATTAGCCTCAAACACACACATAATCACATAATCTTATATATATATGTATGTGTGTATATATATATATGTATATACAACATAACTATATGCATATCACAACTAATATTCCATCGTGTCGCCATAAACTGCTTGGTTTTGCCTCCCCATCCCTTTTTCGGTGCCGCCGGTGGCACTGTGGCGGCCGTTACGTTTTCGGTTCCAGGTGTGGGCCGATGGCACCCGCTATAGTGGCCAGTGGTACCATGACTTGCCTCATGGTCACGGCAAATTGGAGCAGGTGCTGGAGATCATTGCCATGGCAATTTTTGGAGCTGGTGATATATAGAGGTATGCATACATAGCATATATATATATATATATGTATATATATATATATATACATATATATATATATACACATATATGCATGTATGCATATATATATATACACACATGTTTGATATAAAGCAAACAATACGATGTTGTCCTTTATTATGATGATTGGGACGATTTGGGGAATATCATGGAATACAATGGGACTATCCTGTACGATTATCATGAACATATTGATCATACCTATATCAATTATATCATGAACAATAAATCTGGAACATATTATACCATGAACAATAAATCCTACATCAACATATGAACATCCGTAATATATCTTTTATATCAATTGGGGATTCATGATACCATGTGAATCCAACCAGAAAAGCAGTTAAAATCCCATGACCTGGTGACCTGATGCACCACTAAAAATTCATGATTTTCAAGGTCCAACTGTTAATTTACCAGGGGGAAATGATGATTTAATATGATTTAATCGTATAACATTGGGATAGATCAGCATTTGAGATAGAATGGATTACCAGATGATGCACACAGGTAGAGACATTCTTAGATGCTCCATGCAATCTGCTGCGAAGATGGGATGTGTTGGCCTGTGGATCGTTGGCAGGGGGATGTCTACGAGGGCCAGTGGAAGTATGGCAAGGCCCACAACTCACCTGGTTGATGTTGCAGCCAACCAGCAAAAATGGGGATATCATAGGGATATCATCACCAACTCTGGGATATTTGGGTGTCCAGCAATTCCCTCAGGGGATTTTTTGGCCCCTTTTTTCATGCACATGTTTCGTGGGGAAAAAAACGATGAGCCATTGGATTCCGGTCTTCAATTTTCAGACAAGCCACAGCAGCAGCCCTGCCCTGTGCTTGTGTCCTCAACTTCATTTACCCTCTGGTGAACATACAAAAAACTATGGAAAGATCCACCATGCTATTAATGGGTAAATCAAGTATTTCTATGGCCATTTTCAATAGCTTTTTGTATGTTTACCAGAGGATACTTCAGTTTTCTCATGGTTTTTCCCGAAAAAATGAAGGCCTGTGGCCACGGGAAACACATTGCAACCAACAAAGTGCGGTGCGGTGGCCTGGTGATGCGACCAACGCTACGACCGTGGATACTAGTGGTGTTTTTAAATATTTGGCGATGGTTAAGATCCAGTACCCTCCGGTAAACTAACATACCTATGGAACATCGCCATTTTTAATGGGAAAACTCACTATAAATGGCTATTTTCAATAGCTATGTCAAATTACCAGAGGGTAAGATCCAGTAATGGATAAACTACTAATAGTCAATATGAATGAATATCCAGGGATGTAGTGGTGAATCATGGATGTAAATATCCATGGATGTAATTATTGTAGTGGTTTTGCTAGTTCGACAGTAAGCCCTAAAAAAAAATGTTTTTGGTAGCCCCGAAAAAGATAGAACCGTGTTTCCAGGATTGTAGTTCGATGAATTTTACCGCACAATTTCCATGTTTCTCACTTTTCTACGCTTTTCTATTTTGGGCCTGCTATAATGGTTAATAATACGAGTAGTTCGATAGTTAATGATTCACACTGGTTTTCCCATTGATGTACACTACTAATAGTCCATGGGTAATCACTACTAATGGTTGTATTAACTTTCTATGGTACTATTACATGAAAATCATTCTTTATTGGTTACCCCATATATATTTTCCATGGATATGAATGGATGCAATGCTGGTTCATATCCATTATCACTGTTAATGGTTGGTACACTATTAATGGAGATTACCTTTTTTTGATACCCAACAAATGCCCAACTCATATGCCTGGATGTCATGGTCAATAGTTGGATAGTTGATGACAAACAATTTAAGATGGTTTTCCCATTAATGTACACAACATTAAGAGTTAATGGGTGCACGTGATTAATCGCGATGAATGGTGATATCAACTACTTGTTTTGACCAATACAATGGTTATATAATATAGGAATATCACTATTATTGGAACCTCAGATAACGAATGGGTATTAATGGATGTGACGGTTAATATCCACTCATAATAATTAGCCAATATCCATTAATATCCACTAATAGTAGTGGTTAGTATCCATTACAAGTGGTTTGATTTGTGCAATCCCATGACAGCCCTGGCCACTGGCCTGAAGTGATCTGAGCATATATCCTGTTTTTGGAGCCACATGTCTTCAATTGTCGTCTTAATATACCGTACGTATATACAGTATATACAGTATATACAGTACACACACATATATATATGTATATGTATGTGTATATATATATATATGTATGTAATGTAATGTAATGTAATGTAGTGTAATGTAATGTAATGTAATGTAATGTAATGTAATGTAATGTAAGTATATATATATATACACACTGTACATATGTACCCCACTCAGATCTTCTGAAGTCCCCCTTTTTGGCCCCCTATCGCCGAGCAGCGTCTTCTCCGACCTTTGAGGTACGAAGGTGAATGGCACAACGACCAAAAGCACGGCCATGGAGAAGAGCACTACGCCGATGGAGGAAGGTATTCGGGAAGCACCCTGGCTGGAGGAAAGTGCTGGGTGACAAAGTGGGGCACCGAAAAACGGACTGTTTTTTTTCCATGAAATTTTGATGGATTGGTTTTCACGGGAAAATCGAAACCGGAAACCAGAGTTATTTTCCCGATCATGGGGCTTAAACCGGTTCCAATTTTCCCTTAAACCGATCCATTGAATGATTTTGATTTTCCATGATTTTGATGATTTTCCATGATTTTTCCATGATTTTTGATGAGCCAAAATCCGGCCTAAATCCGGCCAGGCTACGACGAAGGAAATAAATCCGGCGAGGGCATTTATCGTTGGCCTGATGGCTCTGAATACCGAGTTTCTTGGAAGAAACGACGATGGGCTGAGAATCAGCAAGGGATAACTACCGGGTATCTCCAAAAAACCATGGAATAAACATCAGAAATATATAAAAACACTAGGAAACATGATATAACATTTGATTTTATCACTCATCAAGTCGAATGATTATCAACCATGATCAACCTTTTTGGTTTCAGACAATCCCACAAAGTTCCGTTGTAAGCCCGCGGGTCGACAACGACCCATGTGAGGAAGGTCACGGATTGTTTCCAGCGACGCGACGTTTTTAAAATTCTCGGATTTTCCGGGTCCATCTTTGAGAAAACCAAGGAGGCTAGGATGTATACTGTAGAGATCTGTAGAGTATAGTTTTCCATTCATCATTTTAAGATATTTTAAGACTTCCAGTGAAAAAAAAAACAAGTGAAGCTTTGCAGCAGTACGTGTCATACGGCAAATGTAGGGCATGACATTCCCTGGATTCGACTCCCGTCACAGCCTTTGTTCGACATATTCCATTCATCAGCAAGAAACATGAACAACTCGCACATGTATCCTCATTACCCTTCCAGACCCAGCGAACCTAGTCAGCAGCGCCAACCAGGGCCACTTCTGTGAAAATTTCTTCACTGGCCAAGGTGCGCCTTTTGGGGTTGTCGTGGGAGCCGGATTTCCTGGCCTTTTGGGGATACCTCAAGCGTTACTCGCTGGTGTGAGGCCGGCAGAAGTGGGCCGACGGTCGAAGCTACGATGGTCAGTGGCAGGCCGCTTCGCAAGGGCATGATGGCATGGGCCATGGCTATCACACCAAGCATGAGTTACCCTCTGGCAAACTAACATAACTATGGAAAATCACCATTTTTAATGGGTAAATAAACTATAAACAGCCATTTTCAATAGCTATGTTAAATTACCAAAGGGTATTTTTTTGGAGCCTATGAAAATTGACGATTTTCCCCAACAAACCTATTTCCAGGGGGATTTCCCGGCAAGCCATGTTTGATGACACCGAAGGGATCCTGGAGGGAATTTCCACTACAAAAGTAGTGGACTTGGGTCCTCTGTAAAATAAGTTTTTCAATGGTTTTTACAGTCCCCCTAGGACCATGTGTCCTTGCATTTTGTAGTAACCCTAGGTCACATATGTTTCTAGATTCAAACATGGGCTGGTCATAGAAGTTTGTAGTGGTTAAGTATGCGAGATAATAGTCGACCCAAAATGGATTTCTGAGTTCACTCAGATTTGACCCAAAAGTACTTTGTAGTGAATTTGTGGGGTTCCAAGATCAATGTTCTGAAATCAGCTGGGTTTGACCCCTGAAGAACTTTGTAGTGTTTCCTGGGGAATCTTTATGAGATGCCACATGCATATACATACATCAATCAATAATATATGCATCCGCATTCTATGTCGGTGTAATTGGGCTCAATATGGACATCAGGATTTCCAAAGTGCCACAGGTGGATTGAAGTGCCACAGTGGATGTCAGTGGTGTATACCCAAAAATCACTACAAACTACTTTGTCATTTTTTTGGATTGATCTTGAAGACTCAGTGGGATCTACTTAAAAATCACTACAAACATCTACGTGTTTTTTTCAGGGTCTCTTGAAGACCTCTTGTTAGATCCTTTGGTTTTTGTAGTAACCCTTTATCCAGGCTGGGGTTGCACTTTTGTAGTGATTTTTTTTTTGGCCTGGGCATGGAAAATGTAGTGGGTGGGGTTGGGAAGAGCTACTTTACAGCTACAAAATCTTGACCCAACAGTCCTCCCCAAATACCAACCCCGATCCGAAGGGTATTTCCAAACCAATTGCAGAATGTCGGGTCACACAAGCTTTGCACGTTTGATCATGTGGTAAACCGAAAAAAAAAACAATCCCCAACACCATAAACGGATGTTGCAAAGAACCATCCCCTAATATAGGACAATATAGGATACTTATTGGGTTGACTGAATTTTAAGGGCACCCCTCAAAATCGTCTTGATGGGTTAGTCATCATTTTCATCATTTTTCTTGGCTCCCAAAGGGGTCTCCAGTTCCAAGGCCATTTCCGGATCATTTCCGATTTGACCCCCAGGTATCATTGATTTCAATTCATTTTATATCATAGGAAATTCCATCAGAAACCTCAGTTTTCATCCATTTTTTTTTTTGGCGTTCGTTTTTTCTCCATCAAAAAAACCATCCGGCTAGTGGAACAGCCCTTCCCCCATACCAACTGCCCAGGCCAATGTGATGCATGGCCATGGTCGCTTTCGGTGGCCCGATGGTCAGACGTACGTTGGAAGCTACAGAAACGGCTTGAGGTGGGAATACAGCAACGAGTGGGATTTTCATGGATATTTAATGGGATTTTCATGGGATAATATGTATATATATATATGTGTGCATATAGTATATATAGTATATATGTAATATACATATGGATTAAATGGATTATACCCCCAGTTAGATTCATGATTAATTATCCCTTCTTGGATGAGATGAAATACGGGTTAGGTGAATGTTTTTTTTTCCACGCATCCGATTCGTGGGATGCACATCCAAGGGAGGGGGAGACGAAGGCTGGCCGGTTGCAGTTGCTGTTCTTAACTGTAGAGATAGAACAAATGTCTGTAGAATGGCAACTGCTGTTCAATCCCTACAGTTGAATGGTTAAGTCCAACTACCCTCTGGTAAACATACAAAAAGCTATTGAACATGGCCATAGAAATAGTGAGTTTTCCCATTAAAAATTGTGATTTTCCATAGTTATGTTAGTTTACCAGAGGGTATGTTCAACTATGTCCGCTATCTCAATCGCATTCTGACAAGTTTGATTTAGGGGTTTCCATAAGTCATGGGGTTACCTCAAAATCGATGGATGTTCTTTGGAAAAAGCCCAACGTTGGATGATTTCTAGATGAGTTCGGGGTACCATTTATGGAGAGCCTCACTGAACCATTCAACTGGATTGAATATATTTTCTCCGCTGGGATAATGGGGATAGATTGGGGGATGGGAATCATCAATCCATTTTCGCACGGAGGTGAGGTTGGTGTAACCCTCTGGTAATTTAACAAATGGTCCATTTATAATCATTTATAGTGGATTTACCCATTGAAAATGGTGGATCTTTCCATAGTTTTTTGTATGTTTACCAGAGGGTAACCCCCATGACCAGTTCGTTGTCGAAAAACCCAACAGCTTCACCCGCCCGCCAGGCACGGCAAAGGGAAGTTCCAGTGGCCGGACGGGCGCGTCTATGATGGTGCCGTGGCGCTGAGGATTCCGTGGAAAATGGATGAACATCCCACGACATGGGCGATATTTTGATGGGAGGTTTTCCGATTTGGAACTTGGTGTCTGGAAGCCTTTAACTTACTACTTTGTGGCCATTTGAATAGGGAACAGGATCATAAACGACGGGATTTTTGGGGTACCACCTTTTCAAAGCCGAGATTTTTCCGAGTGAGTTGGTTCACTGTTGGTTCTGGTGGGATTGGTTCAATGAAGCCACACATCAGTATTATATATTAATTATATATATATTACATACATATTCTTCTTCTTCTTCTTATTATTATACGTATATATATATAATATACTATAATCTACACATTATATACATACTATATACATATTATATACATATTATATACACATATTATATACACATATTATATACATATTATATACATATATACATATTATATACATATTATATACATATTATATACACATATTATATACATATTATATACATATTATATATATATATTACATACATACATATTATTATAATACGTATATAGATAATATACATATTATCTACATATTATCTACATATTATATACATATTATATATATATATATTTATGTGTATATATATATATGTGCAATATACTTATTATATGTGTATACATATTTTATGGGAGAATTGTAGTCTTAGTGCTTTTCGACATTGGCCTCGGCCAGGTGAATGGGAAGATGGGAAGCAGCACGGGAAGGGCATCTTGGAAGCAGCATGGGGACCTAACAGAAATGGCCTAAATGGCAATATTTATTGGGACCCAATATTTAAATGATTGCCTATAGGGTCTCTGATTAAATGATTGAAGGGAGATACCCCCTTAACTGAAAAATCAGAGACCCAACAGAAATCCGAAAATTCTCAAGATGTAATTTTTTTAAAACAAGGGGGTATCTCCCTTCAATCAGATACAAAGTCCAACCAGCCAACATCGGCCCAGTTCGTTCCGTTTCAGGAGCTGGATTTCTCTCCAAATTTATGGATCCAATGAACATCAGAAATGATGACGAAGCGTCCCCGGGTTTGTTTGAAGAGCTAGCCCAACATTCCCCTTTCCCCATTTACAAACACACCCAGAATTCAGAATGCTTGGGTCGAAATTTGGGTGACTCGAAACTAGTTGTCAAACACTTGAAAAGAATGGACCTTGTGGGTCCGGGTTGGGAGTCTTAAATTTTGAGCCATAGCCATTCCGAGCTTGGTTATAGTTGGTTACGTAAATCCCAATGCAGAGTTGGTTGTAGTTGGCCATTCTTCAAGGTGGATATAGCTATATCATGTCAGATCCCAATAAGCTGCTTATATATATATATGTACATATATATATAACATATATATATGTACATATATATAACATATATATATATAGAGTTGGTGATAGTTGGAAACATATCCCACAGAATCCCAGGAATTTCGGTGTCCGGACATCATGACATCGCTAGAATCACGAATTTGTGTTGCTGACTGAGGAACTCTGATTCAAAAGGGCCAGGTCATCAAGGGCGAATGGTCCAAGGGCCTGCGGGTGAAATGACCCAAAAAACGACCAGCCAGCAATGACTGGCCGGTTGTTATGTGCCAATTTAAGTGGCTTCTGGCTGGTGGTTTCATCATTTCAACCAAATGGGTTGGTATGTTCGAATAGCCCCAAAATCCATGGGTTAATCCTCATTCTCCTCATTAAATGGTTAATGGTTTCAATTGGGGTTGTAGAAAAACATCATTGACAAGACGCCAGCCAGATTTCTATGGCATGATCCCAGTGAGCATCATTTCGGCGACTCATTCACCACCAGCCTGGCAACGAATTCATCTTTGAAAAACATCTCGTCACCACAGTGGTGAAATTCATGAATGGGGGCCCGTGAAGCAGCTAGCACATGGTTCTAGCCGACGGCTTCTCATGTTGTACACAGTTTCAACAGTCTCACGTGTAATTTGAGCCTTCAAATTGCCACGAAAATAGAGGCTTAAAGTGACTGTGATGGCAAACTTTGGGAGTTACATAAATTCACTGTCGGTTCACATCTTCGATCTGATCCAATCTCCTTCGCCAACTCACGCCCACTCAGTCACACTTTCAGAGTTGTTCACTACCGAGAAACGGCCGAAATGTCCTCAAAGACGTGGGATAAAAAGTTTTTTTTTTAAAAAAACCAGGTTTCAAATCCATGTCTATGGATTGATCATGATTGGTGCCTTCCTTCACGCCCGTATTTTGGCAGTTTGGCTCCAAGGCCAAGTTGTTATTTGTGTCAAAGGCCCCTCAGCGCGTTGCGGTCTCTGCTTGCGCGCGTTGTGCATCTTCATGGCAGACTGCGAAAATTTGAAGAGCGACGACTTCAATTCCTATGGGACCTTCCTCGGCCTGCGATATTGCAAAGGAACTGGAGCTATCCGTTTGATGTATTGTACCATTGTCGCCTTGGCCCTGTCGTTGTTTCGAATTATTGCTGACCTGGCACTGGGATTTGCAATTGTGCATCATTCCTCTTGGTCATTTCTGATTGCTTCATTGGTGGATTTGCTGCTGGCAGTGACCGCTTCAGCTGCCGCATGGTTTGCGGTGAAAGAACGACGCTACGGCATCATTGCGGCTTGGTAAAAATGCACCATGACAAATCTGCCGGGACCGTCACCATTAAAATCATAGCTAAATGATTTATTTTCGTGGGCCATTTTCCGTATCTCAGTTGGTTTACTGGAGAAAATGGATGAAATGGCCCATGAAAATCTAGATCATGAATAGATTCATTGAGCTATTTTCAGAATGGTGACTTCCATCTATTTGTTCTTCGGATTGGTTCTTAGATTCCCAGCAATCCGTGAGGTATTTTCCATCATCTCCTTTTTGGAGACGGCACTTTACAGTGCAATCTATTTTCTGATTGTTGTCATAGCTCCTTGGTCGCAGGATGGTAGAAACCAACTGAGCAATGCCAGTGGTCTTTTTTTTTTAAGCAGATAATTTAGCTGCTGACGAAATAAGTGTGTTTAAAACATTCTAAAGCTATATGCTATTCCATTATCATCATGTTCCCGCTATTTCAAGTGTCATTTTCTCGTTGTAACTGTCACATTTTCAGGTAGCGTTAATACTACTCGTATTACATTCTTGGCATCAAAATATCTAATATAATCTAATATCTTTATATATTTTATAGTATTTTAATAGTATTTTAATATATCATATCCCGTTTCTATCCCATCCATTTCTTCATATTTCCAAGTGATTTTCGCCCAGGAGGTGAGGTCTGCTTGGAAGGTCTGCGGCTCGGCCGCGGCGACGGCGGAGACGGCGACGTCGCGGTGTGATCAGAGAGCCAGTGAGCTCAGCAGCCATGGAGACTTGGCCGTCGGGGCTTGTGGCTTTGGTTATGAGATATGGCATAGTGAAACCATGGTAAAACCATAGTGAAATCACAGTAAAACCATAGTAACATAGTAAAACCATGGTAAAACCATAGTAAAATCATGTAAAATCATAGTAACATAGTAAAACCATAGTAAAACCATAGTAAAATCATGATAAAACCCAGTGGTTTGATGGAACTTTATTAAAACCACTAGCTTTTTCAATTGGTAATCTGTGGCAGTTTGCGAATTGGAAGCCATTTTTTCCTTCTGAAAAATTCGATCTATGAGGATTTTACCATATTTTACCTATCAGTGACATGGGTGATTTTCCAGTTAGCAGTGCTGGATCCAGTTCGCAGTTTCAGCTCCGTTTTTCATCGGTGAAGGTCTGCTCCTGATACTTCTGGGATTTCATCTATCCATGCCGACGGCACTTCTTCAGCTTTGCTGTGCCTTGGATCGTGGCCATTTCTTTCTCGAAGATGGGGAGTTTGGAGGTACCATGTTCCATATAGTTATCCATATCTATGGTTATCTTATAGCCATATCTTATCATATCATATCATATCTGTAGTTACCCATGTACCAAGCATTTTGAGAAGGCTCCAGGTCAATGGGACTTTCAGGAGCCTGCGAAATCTGACATTTTTCGACAGAGATCAGTACCTCTAAAAAGGGGTACCTGAAATATTCCTTGACCCAGAGTTTTGAAATACCCTCTGGTAAACGTTTACACAACTATGGAAAGATCCACCATTTTCAATGGGTAAATCCACTATTTCGACTGGGCCATTTTCCAGTTCGCTATGTAACAAATTACCAGAGGGTATGACACCAACCTCACCTCCTATGATTTTACTATGGTTTTACTATGTTTTTGTTTTAACCAAGCTCCTGATTTCAGATTTTTCATGTTGTGCTTCACCATCGTCACCGTAGATCCTTCCTGTTTGAGGTGAGGATCTTCACATAAATTCCATGTTTCGATGTCTTTGGAACGAACGAACAACGGACCAAAAACCTGACACGCCTTTTCCAAGCTGTATAACTTACTGGTGCTTATATAGTAGGGAATGGATGGGTTGCTGGGGGTTGCTGGGATGATGAAATTGATAGTTAGCCAGTGGATCATTCCCGAAAATTCCCTAGCAAGTACCAGTAAGTATAGTTAATTCCCATTATTGTGATTAATTATGATTGGCTATATCACTATAATTATCACTACAATCATCATTATTACTACTTATCACTATAATTATGAGTTGTACAATGATATTCATTTTCGTCCGTTCGAGCCTGAGTCTCGTCCTTGTTGGAAACCCAAGCAATCGCCTCGGTGCCGAGCAGTGAAGATCACTCTTTGAGATCATGTAACATGATATATATATACAGATTATATTAAATCATTATATATTTATATATTAATATTATTATTATTACTTATTATTATTATTATTTATTATTATTATATATATATATGATATGTAGACACATGTGTATTAGTATGACTAGAACTCGCATACGTCACCTTACGGAGGCATCCCTTACCATACCATGCAGCAGACTCTGAGGTGCATATTTTGTTTCCAAGACCCCGCGAGTCTGAGAATGGCCATGGCCACGGATGGCCAGCTCCAACTGAAGATCCGTGATGGCCAACCCGAGAACATGTGGAGAAATAAGTAAAGCTGAATGAAAATCGAAGTTGTCATCCAAGATCTTCCATTCATTGTTAAGAAATGCCATGATTCCAAGCTTTTTTTTGCGCGTCTCACCTCAATGTCGAGTTCCTCTCACCTTTGAAAAGCGATGAAAAGCGCCCCATCCGTGTCGCGAACCATCCATGCCGCCGTTCTCGTCTCGTTTGTTTCGTTGTCCCAGGTTCCGTGTTATCCTGGAAGAACCCGAAGGTGGAGCGAAGTTTGATGAAAGCACCGACGGAGGCGCCGGGGATTGATTTTTTGGGAAGACCAATTCGGATCAGCATCAACGAAATATCAATATCCTGTCGTTTTTTTTGTTGTGTTATTTTTGGATTATAACATATTATAACATATTATAACGTTATAAGATTTGTAACTTATACCATCTGGTTATGACTAACAGTTCGCCATGGAAAATCACCATGCTATTAAGTTCGGTAAACCATCTATTTCTACTGTAGGCCATCGTGTTACCATGGCGAACTGTGAATGTCATAACCATTGGGGGACTCAGCAGCCTCGTTCCAGGAGATGAAACCTGCATCCTGACGGTCTTCATCAAAACAGATGTGGCCGGGAGCCCCGATGTCCGAAATCATGGGAAATCCATGAAGAAGACGAGTTCCTGCAGCTATTTTTGTTGTTAACTTAGCTAATTATGCTAATTTGATAGAATTTAATGATATTTCATGGATGATACACACACACATATATATATATACATGTATATATATATATACACCTATGTATATGTATATATATATACGTACACATACTATATACTAACTATCTCCTAACTATGCAGCCGTTGTTTCGTTTTTGTCCGCCATTTTCCTCTCGGGCGTCCAGGTCATTCGGGATCCCATCGACAAGATGAGAAGCACATTGGCAGTGCGTTGGGCACGGCACCTCAATGCCTCTCTCGTTGGGAGCAGCCACGATCCAATCGGTAAATGACATGATTTATAGTGATTCAATGGGATTTATAGTGATTTAATGGGATTTTATAGTGATTCAATGGGATTTATAGTGATTTAATGGGATTTTATAGTGATTCAATGGGATTTATAGTGATTTAATGGGATTTTATAGTGATTCAATGGGATATTAATGGGATATACCCTCTGGTTATGTCAAAATAGCTATTGATAATGTCCATAGAAATAGTGAGTTTTCCCATTTAAAATGGTGATTTTCCATAGTTATGTAAACGTTTACCAGAGGGTAATAGAAATGCTATAACACTAGCCACCAGCTATTCAAAGTTATCAAACAGAATGTCATGTGATCCTTATTTGCTTTTTTTCCATAAATGGATACCCAAAATGGTTGGTTTACAATGGGAAAATCCCAATAAATGGATAAATGGAGGTACATCCCATTCAGTAAGGGGTTAAATTTGTAACCATGTGGGGATTTCCATAGTGGGGTACCCCAAGCGAGCTTAGGATTGTTTATTTCCATGGGAAAATGT